ATATTTTACATCCTAGTAAGTACATGTAACTGTTTATATGTTTTTAGATTTGTATGTTGGTTTCTTAATGATAAAAAAGTAATAAAGTAATATAACTGGAGTAGACAGACTTGAACTAGACAAAACATGAAACAGCACTACAACTATTATGCTTCATGCAGATCACCTAAGAATCTAAATGTATATATCCTTAGTCTTAATATTGATCACTTGTCTAACGACTGTATGTTTGCTGGAACATAAGCTATTATTTATATCGTTTTACTTTTTGAGATTATACAAAGCATTGATATCAGAGAAACAGTGATAGTAACCATTTACTGTACGTGGGGAGCCCTGTACGTATGTAGGTGTTAGGATAGGTGTTATGATGCTGGCACGTGCACTAAAATGATAAAATGCATGCTATTTATACTCAGCATTATAGATTTGTTCTATCGTTGAAGATCCGTATGAAGCAGAAGCGTTGCGCATCGACCAAACGTACGCTCGTATACACATATTGTTCAACTGAAGTCAGCGGTATTATTGCCATGTGATACAGGGATTTCCAAGTAAACTTGGAACAAAAATCTAGCCAAACGCGATAATGGTCGGTTTCGGCAGGAGTTATTCCCCTTTAGGTAATAGCTAAATTGCACCAAATCTACGTTGTAAAGAAACAAAAACAACATTTCTTTATACTACTTTCAAGTTTAATCAATAAAAAAACCTTCCTGAAACATTGTTCTCGATTTGCCGGTCTGGTCGAAAACCTTTCCCTATTGATACAAAGTTACCTTTAACTGAACACGGTTGATATAGCTCCTCGTAAGGTCTACAAGCATCTGTAATATTGTAAATCATATGCAAGACAAACGAAAGACTAGACTTTTAGTGGGTTTTTTTATTCAACAACTCTTATAGCCATGACAAAGGAGTGACCATAACAAAATCCTTGCTTGGCTAACTCTACATATTTGACATTTCTGCAATATTTCTTAATACAGCATAAGAAAATCTTGAAAGGCAAAAACACGCCCTACACTAAGCAAATGTTTGTATGAACGAACAGTAACCTAGTCATATGGTTATCAAAGACGAGTATAACTAAATAAGACCAATAAGACCACAAACAACAGTATCAAATCAACATCATACCAAATTGTTCGCATGACATGTAACCCAACCTACCAGATACAAAGAAGGAAATTAAACCAACCTACCACCTGAGGCCATACCATGACCACTGAGGATGCAATGCTGTATAAACAAAATGTGCAAGCCGAAAATAATATTGACTTGGATTGACTATATCTCTTTGAAGTTCTTATTCTGCCTGGTCATTGGAACTGTCATTAGCCAAGTCGAAATAATACACCACCATAAAGGCATCTACAGGGGAATCAGAGAGAACATTAAAGCGGTAAACTGACCTGATCTAGCGTCTATCTATAATATCAACGAGTCGCGGAAGATATTTGGAGATACTGTGACAGTACATATTCTAACGGTATTGTAATTTTAGCAAATTTCGCGTTTTAATCATTCCACTTAATTATAATTACGATAATTGAAGATTCTGTATATATCCTTCTATAACACATATTGTAAGTGCGTTAACTTATTAATGCGCTAATCTGTTCAAATTCCATAAAACGCCAAAATTTGAGTCCGCTTAAATAAGAACTATTAGAACGCATAACACTGGACAGGATTGACAACGACAAGTTTAGCAAAAGAACTATACATAAGCAATGATACTGGAGGGAATCAAGTGGGAAAAGTGTCATCTTTAAGGACAACTTCAATTTGACTTAGTACAAATTATCAAACACTGAAACAAACCAGGTCATCAAAACAAAACGATGAAAAGTATATGATCACAGACAAAATCAACGTCAACACCAACCTGACAACATGGAAAACATCAGTAACAAGGAAATTTCTTCAATAAGATTTATCAGTTTGTAAATATGTAATACCAAAGTTTTACTTCCTACACAAACAATGTACATATCAAAACGTTGCGACACGTTTAATACCTACATTGGTTGTGTAGAAAGTAAAATGTTGATATATATAACAAGTAAATTGATTTATTTATATATATCATGTATGATGGTTAAGTGTAATTTATGTAAATAACAATGTATGAATTACAAAAACATATGTGTCAAACTAACTTTTTATAGTTGGTACAGATTAAAATTCGTCCCCTTAGCTTCTGTTTGAAATGTGCTCGTTTAATAATAAAATTTGTCAGAAAAATAGATTGTTTACGTAAAACAATAAGGTCTTTTTGTAGCGATCAAAACGCAGGAAGGCCTACATGAACCATGTAATGTTGATTCGCAGAAAACATTATTTTCCATTTCTTCAGACCAATTTATATGGGGAAAAAATAGTTTCCAACCAGAGCAAGGTCGTTTAAAGCTTCCCAATATAGATTAAGTGTTGTTTTAGCCGTCCTATTCACCTTACCATTTCTACTCATTCCGACAAGATCGTGGTTTCAGATCACGTGACACTACATTAAAACCTGATATAATGAAAGGCAAAATAGTTTGTGTCAGAAAAGTTTAAAGTTACTTTTATTATTACTTTCTAGATCTGTCAAATATTATAGCAGATTATTGTTTTTTTCACTGTTCATGTTTTCAATTGTATATAAAGCCAGACTAAATTATTTGTCACTGTTTTAATGAGCTAAAATATTAGCTTTCAATAATATTTTACCCACGCTTCCTGTTATGGAAGATTTAGCAAGTCGCTTTTTTGCACATTACTTTTACAAGTGAATTGTAGCATTAGATAATGTAGCACTGTGGAATATTTTGACAATACTAAGCTATAAATATGAGTTTTAAATAGTGCATTGGCAAATCATGTCACACATCTTCCCCGTGACTATTTTCAAAAGTTACAAAGAACGATTCACGCCACACGTTGACAATAGTGTCACCATTATGCTTAGAAACATGGAATGTAATTTGAAAACTGTATTACGATAATGATATGGTTGAAATATCTTAACAAGGACATTTTATTTACCTTTTTGATGCATGTCTTAAAATGCTACTTCGTATTTTAATTGTCCCTTTGATTATATAAATATTAACAACAATTATAAAACAAGATATGTCAACCTATAACAGTCACTCTGGTTGGCTCGGATGTCTTAATTAACATTTTGAAAAGGAATACGTGCTTATGAACCTTAGAAAATGTACCACCTCACAAGATATGTTAAAAACACAAAAATGTTTAACGCACATCTATCACGTAAAGGTCATTAATCAATCAATGTAATACGTCAATCGGTTTCATATTTATGTAGAGGAACTGGGTCGAACGTCGACGATCGGGTAGTTCAGTCATATAAATAAACAATTTGAAGTTTTCTATTCGCCCATTTTTCTCATAAACCTGTCATTATTATTGTTTAGCCGACATTGCATATCCTTTTTGATACAGAGAAACCGGCGACTGATGGGAAAACCCCGTCCATATGGACTGTGAAATGCATTTCTATTTATTCCCTTTGGTATTAGGGGGTTTCTGAAAGTAGAACAGGAAAACATATAGCATCTATAAAGCAGCAGAGTTTGTCAAAACGATATGTTTTCCTTGGCAGTTTATTTTGATATGTCTACACGTACTCCGTGTATGAATCAAACCTCCGTTTTGATTGTTGGCGAGTCCTTGTACACTGTATATATACCGTTATCACGGTAATATCAAAAAGTAATCATATTTCTTACTGAATGGAAAATTGTATTGTCATAACCATGACTTATTAATAGAGTACTAAGTATAGCTACTATTTCCCAAAATCATAGGTAAGTTAATAGGTATTTGTGAATTGATAAGATTTTGATTGATTTCATGTCCTTATTGAATAATACATCAATAACCCATTGATTCTTTGGAGAAAGGGGGTTAACAGTTTTGTAAACGTATTTTATTGCTGTTTAATGCACATGCTATCACAATTTACCAAATACATTTTAAATTTTTCATTACATTAAAATTGAGTTAATGTTACTGTGGAATTTTTCAATTGAGTTTATATGACACTAGAAATATAAACTAATGGAAATCAGTTATTGGTGTATTTCGCCATATATAAAGTAAGAATGCGTATATATTGAGTGCTATTCATACATGTAAATGTCTTTTTTAGAAATAAAAATAAAAACAATGTTTCTGTTTTATCTTTACATGTTACAGTATAACCCTATACAATTCAGAGACCGAATATACAAATACAAACACGGACTTTAATAGTTTTATTGATGAGACAAACATATAACAATACATTGTATTTGTTTAATTAATGAGACAGATTTAGATACAAAACATTGTCTATTTTTTGATTGATGAAACAGATATAAATAGAGAGATAATTCTATAGAAACAATATAGGAGGAACAATGGAAACTATTCGGAGAGGGCAGACGGACATTGATAGATGGACCGACATCTTCATTAAATTGCTTAGATGGACCGACATCTTCATTAAATTGCTTTCATCAATATGATACCAGCCCAGGTGAAAAAGTTTAACATTGTCATCCTCATCCTCCCCATCCTGCCTTACTCCCTCTTCATCATCATATTCGCTTTTTGTTTGTCACTTATTTAGAGAGCTAAACATGATAACTGTCCATGGTATTCACCCGCACGCCCTGTTCAGGAAGATTTAGCGAGCCTCTTTTTTAGCACATTATTTTCACTTAAGTGAATTGTATCATTTAATAATCCATATACATAATGTAGCTCTGTATGGAACATTTTCACAATAACATATCAATAAAAGTTTTAAATAGCGCGCATTTGCAAATCATCTCATACATTTCCTCGTGAAAATTATTAAAGTTAAAAGGTACGATTTACACCAAACTTTAAAACAAAGTTGTATAGCAATATAAGACAAGTGATGTGATGGTCATCAATAAGTCCAGGCAGCACGTCACTCGGTTTCATAACTATGTAGCGGAACTGAGTCGAAGTTCGACGACCAGGTAGCTCAATTGGTAGAGCGTTCGTCTAGAGTTCGGAAGGTCCTGAGTTCGAATCTCGGTCTGGTCATGCATTGCTCTTGAGTTCCGAAGTTCAATTATGATCTTTAAATATTACTTATCAAGATATTGTTATTTAGGGCAAGCGGAGTAATTATATTATAAACATATATCTGAACATTTTCTTCATGTTGGGAAGTATGGATTGTAAAACGATTCGTTTAGCACAACCAATAATTGTTTATATGCGACGTTTCGATGACTAGTACGGTATTGTATACTCTGTCAGCTTCCTCAGACAAATGACCAGTGAAGCGACTGCATATGTATACAAAGGTGTAAAATATGTACGAGTTGTCCATAAATCGATGTCGATTCGGCTACGCTGTTCGCTTAAATGTGTTCCCATATCCTCGATCTCGTTATATATTCCGCCAGAAACCACAGGCATTTAATATGAGAATGTAGAATGAAAAAAGACAAAAGCTGGATAAAGAAACAGATAAATAAAGAAGGAAGGAAGGCAAGAAAGTACGTACATGATCACGTGTAATGATAGTGTGTAAACAACTTCAATTCATTCACTTGTCGAAGGGCACTGTTTGAAGCTTAATATTATGGTCTATCTCACCTGTATGGAGTAGTTTCAGTACAGAATGTATTGTGTTTTCAATACAAACTTTATGATAATGCAGTTTTCAAACGAAATACTTTATTATAATACTTCTATTAGTATTACTTGGAGGCACCTTAGTCTAGTGGAAGGACGCCGAGCTCGTGACCGAAGGGTTGCTGGTTCGAGTCACGTCACAGCACTGTGTTGTATCTTTGAACAAGATACTTTACTCCGCTTGTTCCAGTCTACTCAGCTGTAAATGGGTACGTGACTGGGCAGTGCTAGAATTGTTGAATACTAGCTGTGAGCGCCGAAAGGGCAGCACCGACTGTATGCTCCCCGGGGAGTTGAGAAAGATAGTGACTGGTTGGAAAGGCCCTATCACCACGGATAATGATTTGTGAACCGCTTCGAGACGACCTACGAACTTCGAATTATTATCATTTTATTATTATTCTACTTCAAAGACAAGCTGTCAGATTTTAAAAATAGATTTTATTTATTTGAATTTTATTACTCTTTTTTCAAATGGAAAAAGATAATTGTTTTAATTGTAAATTCCAAAAATGGTCGATGATGCAAATTCCTTTCTTCTTTAATTTTATATCTCCATATCAGATCTGGCGATCATAAATTTTAAATGTATTTTGATTGTTTGTTACTGACTGTGATTGGTACGTGTTCATGTTTCTGTACTGAAAAAGGGGCCGATTGTCTTGAAAATTTGACAAATTTATTTTTTATTATATGATGTTATATATGCGTAATATTGAAATGCATCGTTTCTTATTCGGATGAGCAAACATTTGCCAACGTAGAAAACAACCAAAGAGGTATGGCGGGTTGCTATGCCTATTTCCCCAAAGTTATGTTACGCTATAGTGCGCGCACCAACCGTGTACTGTTATGACGCGTCCTCAGGTATTTTTATACGGGTAGCTATATCGGAATCCTGTGTCTAAGGATAGATTATTGTAAACATGGCTATTAATACAAGCGTTTAACGATAAAGGCTCAACAGAATGCTTATTTCACGTTATTTATATTGATTTATAACAAAGTATACGCTTATATGTAATACAAGATCGTGCAATCTATACGAAACAGTTTTGAACGGATTTAATTTTCATCACTACTACCTGCGTTCGGTAAATCGGTAGCATTCAGAATGAGTTCTGAGAAAGTATCCGGTCTCGGGCGATAATCCGCATGTCGAGCAAAACATAAATACCATAATGCCATGGCTACGTGTGAGCAGCGTCCAACAGTACGGGCACCTGCTCGACATTCATAGTACCAGCCGGTTATATTGCGCTGTGAAAATTCTACCCAGAGGTTGTGTTGCTTTGATGAAATGTGGGGGGAATTAAGACGAACATGAACAACGTTGGGTTCCTCACGATTGACATAGATGACATTTCAAGCAAATGAGGCTGTCTTCCCTGATAAGTTTTCCCGCATTTTCGGTAAATATTTCCGATAACAACAGTTCATTTTTCTTGCTTGGCCCTTTTTTATCCTGACGCAACAAATCCCACATATTTGGTATTTCGGCATTATTTGTTGGTGTTTGAGCACTTGATATAATTAGTTTGCCAGTTAGAGGGTCAAACAGTTCATAAATTTCATCAAAGCTTTTTTACCTGTGATATATATAACGAACAAAAATTAAGCTTTATCGTGAACTGAATGAATACATGCCTCTTAATTTAAATCTACTTCTATTTGGACATACATCTCTTTCGGAACAGGAAAACATAACGATATTCATGCATACTCAGCAATACATTCGTGACTCTAACAGATTCTAGTACCCCCCCCGCCCCCTCCCCCTTGTCCCCTCTCTCTCCCTCTCTCTCAATTGAACCATAATATCCACTCTCTCTAAGAGGAAGATACTATATGTCATACATTAATAATGATGAGGATGTATGTATTATAATTACAGACTATTATCCCCCCTGTCTCTTCCCCCTTCCCCCCTTTTCTCTCTCTGTCTCTCTCTTATAATTTCAATTTATAAATTAAAGCATTTAAAAATGAAATAGTGTATATATGTAAATTAATTCTGCCATCTTGTTGTACTATTGTAAATATATGCTTGTAATTTTGCTAGGAAAGGGCTTAATATAAGTTTGATAACTTGTGCCCAATCCATTTGCTTGGCAATAAAATATGTTTAAACTAAATCAAAGCTGTACTGTACACGTGTGCAGGGATTTGTTGACAAGCTTTGATAGAAGTATGTCGCACTAAATAGTAACGAAATTATTACTAAAAAAAATGATAAATCAATAGGTATGTTATTAAAATGTAAACAACATTTTCCATCGATTTGAAAAACAAGATATTGCTTCATTAAGGAAAATGATCACATGCCTAGATATTTAAAAAAGAAAATAAAAGAAAGAAAAAAAAACTGAGGGAAGATTCGAACCTGCACCGTTAATTTTTAGTCACAAATAAACTACGTTACACATTGGCAATTACAAACTGATTTAACCCGAGAAACACCTGTCGCAGTTAAGAGAAACTTGATCAACCCTGTTTTTCATTATTTGAGGACTTTCCCAAAGGAGGACCACTTTTCCGTAATGCGATTTGTTTTTGCATATTACATCACGGTCACAAAAAGTTTATTCAAAAGTTGGTCCTCGGATGGGAAAGTGTTGAAAGTATTTTTTAAGTCCGGGAAACCCCATCAGTGTATATGGCTATATTTGCAGTATCATATTAGCAATACCTAATTTCTCAGCAGTTTAAAAATTCATATTCAATTAGTTCTATATCTTTTGTATGCATTTTTGATACACGAAATGTTTTATTCCTTAATTTGTTTACCCGTTTTCATAAATGCCGACCTAGGGAAATACGGGCAGTTTTCCGCCATACCTCTTTATGAAATCACTATAGTAAAACAGCTCAGGAACATCAAATGCCCCAACACTGTATTGGTTATGACGTCTACGTCATGTCTAATTTTGAAAACATTATTTTGTAGTAAAGGAGGTGCCCTCTCCCAATAACCTACCACTACCCAACAAACATACCCCCTCCTTCCCCTGTGCTTCTGACTATCAGTCGGTTTCTATAAACCAAAAAATGTCATCTCGTTCCTATATTTAGACCTTTCAAAACACTTTGTAAATTGTTAATACATGCAAATGTCATAAAAATGTGATTTTATTTGCTCATTTATCTCATAAACCTGTCATTACTGTTGTTTCGCTGACATTGCATATCCCTTTCGATACACAGTGTCCGCCGACTGACGGGAAATGCCCGTCCATATTGAAGTAACGTACCGTGAAATACATTTAAATTGATTACCATTGGTATTGGGGGGTTTCTTAAAGTATAGCAGGAGAAAATATATCGTCTATAAAGCAGCAGAATTTGTCAAAACGATATGTTTTCCTTGTCAGTTCGCTTTGATCTATCTACACGTGCTCGGTGCCTATTGTTGGCGAACACGAGTCCTTGTACACTGTATATACAACGTTATCACGATAATATTAAAAAGTCATTATATTTATGATTGAAATGAAAATGTCATGGCCAGATCTCTGACGTATATATAGAAAATAAGCTATTATTTCCCCAAATCAAACGTTAGTATAGAAGCATTGTGAAGTGACAAGATCTTGATTGATTATCTGTCCTTATCAATTCATTATTAAGCCAGTATTGATTGAGCAGGGAAGGAGGTCGGAGATTAACAATTCTTAAACATCTATTGAGATTTTTTTTTTATTGCAGTTCAGTGTGTTATTACAATTTACCAAGTACATTTTGAAATTAACATTTAGTTTGAGTTTATGTGACAGTTCCTTTTTGAAATTGAGTTAATATGACACGAGAAATTTAAAATGAATGTTACACTAAGGGATACGATTGCTATCTAAGTTCGTGGGTTTTAATCATTGCATATATATTGAGGTGTTATTCATGTATGATGTCTTCTGAGAAATAAACGACAACCAATTATGCGGTTTCTTTAATGTTTAAATTTTAATTTTAATGAAGTTACGATGCCACAGTATGACCCTATATACCCAAACAAGAGACTCATAAATACAGTACATGGTCTATGATTAACCATTGATGAGACACATATATATATATAATATATTACATGGGTCCGCAGTGGCCAAGTGATAAAGGCGTCTGACATTCTGCTACCACTAGCCCTCCACCAATGGGTCGCGGGTTCGATACCTACGTGGGGCAGTTGCTAGGTCGGTGGTTTTTCTCCGAGAACACCGGCTTTCCTCCACCACCGAAACCTAGCACGTCCGTAAATGACCATAGCTGTTAATAGGACGTAAAACACAAACAAACCAAACTATACATTGTACCTGTNCTAGGGAAATACGGGCAGTTTTCCGCCATACCTCTTTATGAAATCACTATAGTAAAACAGCTCAGGAACATCAAATGCCCCAACACTGTATTGGTTATGACGTCTACGTCATGTCTAATTTTGAAAACATTATTTTGTAGTAAAGGAGGTGCCCTCTCCCAATAACCTACCACTACCCAACAAACATACCCCCTCCTTCCCCTGTGCTTCTGACTATCAGTCGGTTTCTATAAACCAAAAAATGTCATCTCGTTCCTATATTTAGACCTTTCAAAACACTTTGTAAATTGTTAATACATGCAAATGTCATAAAAATGTGATTTTATTTGCTCATTTATCTCATAAACCTGTCATTACTGTTGTTTCGCTGACATTGCATATCCCTTTCGATACACAGTGTCCGCCGACTGACGGGAAATGCCCGTCCATATTGAAGTAACGTACCGTGAAATACATTTAAATTGATTACCATTGGTATTGGGGGGTTTCTTAAAGTATAGCAGGAGAAAATATATCGTCTATAAAGCAGCAGAATTTGTCAAAACGATATGTTTTCCTTGTCAGTTCGCTTTGATCTATCTACACGTGCTCGGTGCCTATTGTTGGCGAACACGAGTCCTTGTACACTGTATATACAACGTTATCACGATAATATTAAAAAGTCATTATATTTATGATTGAAATGAAAATGTCATGGCCAGATCTCTGACGTATATATAGAAAATAAGCTATTATTTCCCCAAATCAAACGTTAGTATAGAAGCATTGTGAAGTGACAAGATCTTGATTGATTATCTGTCCTTATCAATTCATTATTAAGCCAGTATTGATTGAGCAGGGAAGGAGGTCGGAGATTAACAATTCTTAAACATCTATTGAGATTTTTTTTTTATTGCAGTTCAGTGTGTTATTACAATTTACCAAGTACATTTTGAAATTAACATTTAGTTTGAGTTTATGTGACAGTTCCTTTTTGAAATTGAGTTAATATGACACGAGAAATTTAAAATGAATGTTACACTAAGGGATACGATTGCTATCTAAGTTCGTGGGTTTTAATCATTGCATATATATTGAGGTGTTATTCATGTATGATGTCTTCTGAGAAATAAACGACAACCAATTATGCGGTTTCTTTAATGTTTAAATTTTAATTTTAATGAAGTTACGATGCCACAGTATGACCCTATATACCCAAACAAGAGACTCATAAATACAGTACATGGTCTATGATTAACCATTGATGAGACACATATATATATATAATATATTACATGGGTCCGCAGTGGCCAAGTGATAAAGGCGTCTGACATTCTGCTACCACTAGCCCTCCACCAATGGGTCGCGGGTTCGATACCTACGTGGGGCAGTTGCTAGGTCGGTGGTTTTTCTCCGAGAACACCGGCTTTCCTCCACCACCGAAACCTAGCACGTCCGTAAATGACCATAGCTGTTAATAGGACGTAAAACACAAACAAACCAAACTATACATTGTACCTGTTTGGTAAACGGAACAGATAGATATAACAGTGTACTTGTTTGGTAAATGAAACATACGTTGGACATAGTTTGTACTAGTGATATCAACATTATCGGGAAATGTGTTGTTGGTGAAGGGTTTCTTGACCAGCCAATTAGATATCACTGTCCTACCTACTGTTCTTTTAATATCTCAAGGCCAGTGCAGCATACGTTCAAGCGAAACGTTTGGCTCTTTGATCGTGGAAATGATGATTTGTTAAGAGAAGAGCTGAACATAGTGAAATGGAACATGTTGATTGAAGTTGAAGATATAAATGTCTCTGTTACAAATTTTATAAACACTATCCCAGATATTGCTAAAACTTGTATTCCTAACAAACTTGTAACTGTTAGATCAAATGAACCTCCCTGAATGTTTAACGAAATTCGGAGATTAATTCGTAACGTGCGTATCATAGAGCCAAGCGTTGTCTCTTAGCGATACTCATTGGTCAAAATTCCCTCAAATCCGTAATACATGTGCCAACAACATAAAGCATGCTAAAGCCAGATATATAAAATAAAAATATGTGAAAAACTTGAAAAACCTAAAAATCTCAATGCAAAAGATTGGTGGAGAACGGTACAATTATTACTACCAAACTCTGGAAAATTCTGCATACCACCACTTCTTCACAATGGTACTGTTGTCTCTGATACCTTTGATAAAGCTTGCTTATTTAATTACTTCTTCTGTGCCCAATCAACTATTGTTGATACTGACGCTGTCCTCCCAGATATTGTGGATGAATGTAACCATATTTCATCTAATATTAACATACATCATCTACTATCGATGTAAAAGATGCTATACTTAACCTTGATTGTTCTAAAGCTGTCGGTCCTGATCTTGTTACTACTGAAAGATATTCTATGTAACCCTGTAAGTGTCATCTTTAACAAGTCACTTATCTCGGGAGTGTTTCCATCTGAATGGGAAAACGCAAATGTCACCCATGTGTACAAAAAAGGGTAAATCCGTTTCAAATACCTACAGGCCTGTAAATGGAAAAGTGCGTCTAGAAGTATATCTATAATCTCCTACATGACCACCCTCTTTTATCCTCTAACCAGTCAGGGTTTCGACATGGCCATTCACCCGTCAATCAGCTACTTGCGGTCAGAACGGTAAAGAAATAAGACAGGAGAAGTCAATTAATAAGTTGGAAAAACTTACGGACTAATCCCTTTCTTAAAATGTTGTCAATAAAATATGTTTAAACTAAAAGAAATAAGAACGGTTTTCTGTGGTATAAGCAAAGCTTTCGACCGCGTTTCGGATAAAGGTCTTCTTTATAAACTATCTTGTTTTGGCATTCGGGGTTCATTACTAATTTGGTTTGAAAATTATCTTTGTAATTGTAAACAGAGAGATGTTATTAACGGTAAAAGTTAAAATTGGTCAAACGTTAGAGCTGGAGTTCCTCAAGGTTCCATATTGGGCCCCCTTTCGTTTCTTATTTTTATCTATGATATTGTAAAAGACATTAATGCTACCATTAGGTTTTGCAGATGACACTTCCTTCTACACCATCATCGATTCTCCAAGAATTAGTGCCGGAAATCTAAATAATGACTTCAATAAAATTCATGAATGGTCCAAGAGATGGTTGGTAAACTTTAATCCTGCTAAAACAGAAACAGTACTGATAAGTAGGAAAACTGTACCCCTTTTCATCCTCCTCTTATCATGAACAATATAACCATTACTGAAGTTAAGTCACATAAACATCTTGGTTTATTTCTGTCTGGAAATGGCTGCTGGATCGAACACATTAAAATTTAAAATCAAATTTATCACCAAATTTAACATTTTACGGAAATTTAAGTTTACCTTAGATAGTTTGTTTGTTTGTTTGTTTGATTTTGTTTAACGTCCTATTAACAGCTAAACCTTAGATAGCAGACCATGTGTCTTCAAACATTGTATTCGACAGTCACACATATTGGAGTATGGAGATATTATTTGGGACTGTCTTACTAAATCCCAGTTCGACTTATTAGAAGACCTCCAACTGGAAGTAGCACTGCGTATGTATAGTAACTGGTGGTACTAGGCTCACTAGTAGAGTTAAGCTTTACCTTGAAACGGGCTGGCTTCCTCTCTAGCAAAGGCGTATACATCACCAGATAATCTACTTTCATGAAATGGTCCATGGTCTCGTCCCGAAATACCTAGAAGATATTCTCCCTCGGCGTAACAACAGCTTCACGACTACAATACCCGCGAAGGCAACAATTTTCGTCATCTTATGTCGTACTTATCTATACAGGAAGTCTTTCTTGCCTTCCGTAATTGATCTAAGGAACTCCTTACCAAACTCAATAAAAGGTGACCCCTCCACATCTATATTAAAATATTACCTGTATGAACCATCCCACAAAGTCCAAACCTTTCTACTTTATAGTAAGTAAGCTGGGTCAGATTCACCAAGCTAGACTTAGAATTGAGTGCAGTTCCCTAGAATTGTACTTGTATCGTAGAAACCTTGTTGATAGGCCTTTGTGTTCATGTATGGAAAATAACGAGACAAATGAACATGATTTTTTACACTGCCGCATTTTTTCACAACTCCGTGTACGTGTCGTCACTGAGATATATCGTCCAATTTCAAGTAAATTACTGCTGTGAAGAACATGCATTAATGTTCTCCTGTACTCAAAATTTCATTATCAGCTCTCAAAGATTTTCAAAATATACCTGCCGTTTACACTGGTATTTTTCATATACTTAGCTGTTTACAATCAATTGATACAGGGTAAATCTAAGATATTCTCTATCCCCCCTTTCCTATCCTATCCTCCCTTATTTTCCGTTTTTACGCATATACTCAACGCATTGCTGCATATTTCGTTCTCAAATATTACAGTCATAAAACATGTGGTCCTCAAATCTCACATGTATTTTTTCCACTGGAGATGGATCTACACATTTTTTCCACTTATTTGTATGTTGCATTAGAGTTTATTTCAACGACTGTTAAAAAAACCCGGTAAAAATGTACTTAGAACTTATAACAAACAGCTGGCTTTTGATTTATTCGGCCAATGATCGATTCAAGCGGGTAGTAATTAGCTCGTGCACTGCATTTTCAGCGTAGTGTTGAAATTGATACAAAAATGTATACATATCCCGATGTTTCCCTATGTATTTCTGGTTAAATAAAAGAAAAAAACATATTCGCCATTAATTTTTAATCGTTATTCAACAATCAAGTTCTTATACTGTGAAGCTCTATTACACAGCGTCACACATGTAACTTCCTTAATTTCAAACACATAGCATCGCTATTAACATGCTTAACACCAAAAATGTACTTTTTAATTTGTTTTTTCGTTTATTATTATTATTATTATTTTTAAACCCTTTTTTGAATCTTTATGCAATTTGATTTTACACGTAATACTATCAAAACATATCTTTAAGAATAAATGCATATTATGATAAATTTTAAATAGTCATCTGCGTTAACGCCTATTTAACATAGAAGTGTTGTTATTGGATTTACTACGGTAATATGTAAAGATAATCAGAGTGACTTCCCTTTATTTATTGCCATCGGACTAGTGTAAGATACAGACAGACTAGAGCATCATCACCGACAGGTCAAGGGTTCCTCGAGCTCCACGACCTATAGAAATGAAGCTACAAGGGAAAGTTGCAATAGTAACGGGAGGTGCCCAAGGATTAGGTCGAGGATTTGCACAGGGTCTACTTGGGAAAGGTGCAAAGGTCAGAATCAGGGACATCTTAAGCTTCTATGATATACTATATATATACAGAGACCTGACGTATAATGTATTATACGCCTCTGATATATATATGTACATGAGTCGCATGCATATATGTCACGAGACACATGTAGGGCAATATTGTATTATGTTATAGAGAGTCTCACACTATCCTACTGTATTACGTTCCTGAAAAGTTTCCCTTAGGTTTTAATATAATATTTCCTTTATAATTCATTACCAACTTAGGTAAAATAATATAAAAAAATAGGGATACTACTATTTTTATACCCCTATTTTTCATATGATTTTATCTGAATTTACAGTCAGAATTTCAAACACCTTTGTTATTACAAACAGTTATGTAGTAAGCAGGGAGTTGATCTTGTGAAAATAATTCTTCGCTTTAAACTATGTGGGCAAGATAATAGTCCAAGTTAAAAAATAAATGAAATGAAATTGGAACTCTTCTTTATTGGAGATACAACACAGACCATTGGGTCTCTTCTTTAATTGGATACTTTAGTCCGTAAATATTGTAAAGCAGTTGATTGTGCCTCAATATTACAATGTATAGTGACTACTGTAGTATTCTTAGAAGTTACTGTGTTATTTTATAAGTTGTCCTTTTATTGAAATTCTTCTAATCTATAGTTATGAAAATAAATTGTAACTTTGGTGTTCACCTGGAACCCCCCAAACTCTTAGAAGGACACTCTACCAATTGAATTACCTGGTTGCAATCCAGTCAAATTGATTTCCGCTACAGTCCTCCCTCCCTTTTTTTCAATCTTCACCCCCAAATACACAACTATTTACAACCTAGGTTTGGGTATCCCCTAACAAGGGTTGGTCACTGGCACACCACTGTAACAGCTAGGACATCGACCCTCCAAACTCTTAGACGGACGCTCTACAAAATGATCTTCCTTAGGTCAATGGCAATCGACTCAATCCGGTTCAGCTCCAAAATGTTCAGTCTATGTAATTAATTTACGTTAATTTATTTGGTGAAATTTATGTAGATAGCATTCATACAGTTTTGTCCTGCGTGTGTTGATAGGTTTGTATATGTGATGTTAATTCTACTACTGGACAAGCTACACTGGCAGCCTGGAACAAACAGTTTGGGAAAGGCAACAGTATGTTTCTCAGGTGTGATGTCACCGACCATGATCAATTTGAAGGTAAAATATAACTTATGATACGTGTACACTTTTTGAGTAAATTCATCAATTGAGGAAGTTTCATTTTGTTAAGTCCTCATTTTGAGCAAAGTCAATCCTCTCAGAGATATCTCGGTCACACAACAAATGGTACAGAATTCTACTGGAAGAATAATTTGAATGGACATAGATCTAGAGACAGAAGAACTGTATCACTCAATTGTAGGAGAGGAAAGACTGAGTTATCTCCCCTTAACAACAATGGGTATTGGTGCATGAAGTATTATTAGATCTATTTTTGTCTGCTGTGGGTACTATAAATGTTATACATCACTAGTATATATTTTGTACAGAAAACTAAGAAGCTGGAATATATATACTGTATACAGGAAATATCTGGCATTTTTCATCAGTATATCAAGATGTTTTAGGTTGAAAAATTGTCTGAAAGGTTCCAACATTGAAATGGATTGTATCATTTCTTACAGGTGTGATTAAAAAAGTTATCAAAGAATTCGGCGGACTGGACATTCTCGTGAACAACGCAGGAGTAAATGGAGAGGAACCAGAGACATGGAGGAGGACTATCCAGATTAACCTGGTAGGACTTTAGGGGTTTACCATGTAATATAAGGGTGGAGGAGGGGGATTATCTACATTGGTAGGACCTTAGGGGTTTACCATGTAATATAACGGTGGAGGAGGGGGGTTATCTACATTGGTAGGATCTTAGGAGGTTACCATGTAATATAAGGGTGGAGGAGGGGGATTATCTACATTGGTAGGACCTTAGGGGTTTACCATGTAATATAAGGGTGGAGGAGGGGGATTATCTACAT